ACTTGCGCTGTATTGTTTGAAAAGATCCTCCTCCTTCTCTCCAAGATAGACTATGAGGCAGCGAATAGCAATTTCTCTGCGCTTTTCAACTGTGTTGTCCTGATTGATAGAAAAAAATAGAAGGTGTTCAAAATACTCTTTTTCAGTGGAAAATGTGCCCACATTACAGAACTGGCAACAGAAACTGAGTATTTCAGAGGTTCTCATTGTTGAGTGAGTTGAGTGTTTCCTTGATCTGTGTGATTTTAGGCTACCCCATGACTTAAATGAACAAAAACAATCTAGGTAAGGACATGGCAGAGGCTGTACACTGGGGATATGGCGTAACCTATAATGTTTCATCAGCTCTTCCTTAGTGGAGGTTGCAAATTTACAGATTTTGCAAGGCCAATCCATACTTCATGATTCTGAATTACTCAATTCAAGCTTACTTGCTAAAGCTTACTTCAGAAGGTCCCTTGGTATTCGATACCAGGAGAAGATGATGGTTTGAGCCTTTGTCCTGGCAAGAAACACAGCAAAGTAACTGAATATTTCGGTGAGATTCCCACTTTCTTTAGAAGGCTGACCACGTCTTAACTGGAACCCCTAGATCTGCAACGCCAGGACAGTGTATAACACCAGAAAGTTGTGCCTGCACAAAAATACAAAAGATGGTATTTTCAACTTCACCTGTGAGTCTTCAATACAGTGAATAAGTTTCACCTGTCAAAGCTGTGTGAGCTAGAACCAAACATTCAAAACTACATAGACCTGAATACACTGGGTGCTGGAAGGCCTAACGTGGCTTTCCATAGATCAAATATACATAGAGGTGACATGGACTGGGCCAGTCTGTTGGAGCGTGTATCCCCAACGACCGCGATCTTGGAGGGGTCTCCACTCGCCCCCAGTGCATGTATTTCTACTGAGGAATGTGTTAACTCAAAAAATAAATAAATAATATATATATATATATATATATATATATATATATATAGTTTTTTTTTTATCAACAAAAGCAAACACAAGGTGTGGCATGACAGGACAGAATCATTTCTGACAGTAAATACGAAAAAAAACCCAAACTTTTTTATACACAAGCTACAATGTCAATAATCCCACTTGATCTGTTTTCATTTCATTCTCCAAAACCAAATTGGAATCAATGCTGAGTCAGCAGCTATGGTCATTTTTGTGCACCCTAGTGTTGCAAAAACTGGCATACTACTGAAACCATATGTGGGATTATTGACCTTTCTTGCCTTATCTGTTTGGAAAAATATTTAAACATTTTCCTTATTTACCATGGGTGAATACATTCCTCAGTAGAAAAAATGCACTGGTGGCGAATGGGGACCCAACCAAGATGGCGGCCCGCTATTGATTTTTTTCTTACTTTCAACCTTTATTGAGGCATATAAATGTTACAGCCAGTGCCAATGCACGTCGCCTCTACGTCTCTACAAAACACGGAAAGTACCCAAAAATTAGGGACAGCTAACTAGCCTACCATATGCGGCACAGTGCACTTAAGTCTGGTCTTTTACCTGTGAAAATAGGCCGAGCAGCCGGTGAAGAACCGCTCTTAGCGGTCAACAGACACACCGGACTAATGGCGACCGCACTTCCTGCGCAGAAGCCAATGGGGTTGAACTTCACCCCGTAACGTTACGAAAATTTAGAAGCGTTTCTTAACAATTACTAACATAAAATGCTTCCCTTCAAAAAATAAATTTCACATTTCAAAAATAAAATCACAGTGAACACAACTTAGCTTGGCTAGCTACGTTAGCATAGTAGTTTGCGCCGGGGCGAACAACGTCCGCTATCTTTTAAAAATTATAAGACAATTACAGTGGTCTGCATTAGAGTAACGTCAGTGTTAAATTTTCCAAAAAGAGCCCAACAATTTATGCTATCGCGGAATTAGCTGCTGTGTGTATATTACACACAAACGCGGGGGCAAGCTAAGATGTATGTTATGTATGTTACGTCGTTGTTTTAAAGTAAACTAACAAAATCCAGAGCGACTGCAGATATGTGTAATTTCGCATAAAATTACTCACCGTTCGCGACGAACACAGCTCTTGATAAACCTTGAACACGTGCTGTTGAATATGTCCGCTTGTGTAGAAGAAGGGAACTATGAGCTGTTTACACGTCATCAAGTTGTATTTTACATCGACAGAACTTAAAATTATATTGTTTTTTGATTAAAAGAAGATTTTAAATTCAGACAAATCACGATTATATATTGAGTAAAGAGGCATAATTTATGTGTCACCCGAACTCAATAAAATAAAAATTTTAATTAGGAAGTCTAACAGTATTTATGAACTTGATTTTTCATTTCACAACAACATATATATGTAAGTAATGACTAAAGATCCCATTAATTACTTTTTAGAGTGCAGCAAATCAAATGCCTTTATCTCATCCTGGCCTTACCATCCTCCTCTGTCACACCAACCCTCTGCATGTCCTCCTTTGTTATATCCCTGAACATCCTCTGAGGTCTTCCTCTTTCCTCCTGCCTGCCTGTTCTTTATTCAACATCCTCTGTACAGTATATCCACTATCCCTCCTCTGCACATGTCCACACCATCCCTTGTCTCTCCCACTTTGTCTCCAAACTGCTAAACCAGAGCTCTTCCTTTAAAATAACAAAAATCTTATCATCTCCAACTGTTCAACATCAAGCTCTACCACATCGTCCATCATCTCACAGCACTACAGTCTCGTAAACCTTCCCTTTCAGTTTTGCTGCTATCCTTCTGTAATCTCCACCCACTCCAACCTGTCTGCACTCTTTTCTACACCTCTCTTGTGCACTCTATGTTGCTTTGGGTGTAACAGTTGAAAATGCAAAAATGAATAGTTAACTCCACAGAGCATTTGCTCTGCATATAGTGGGGGCTTTTTGTTCGTTAGAACATTGTGTGTTTTAATTGCACAATAAAACAAGCAATTAGAATAATAAAGCCTCTTTAATGTGGGAAACCTGTCCACAGTTTTAATAAATAAATATATCATATAAAATATAATAAATAATTATAAACACAGAAAAGGCTCACACTGTGGTATACTATTGAAGAGACACTGTGGGAGGGAGGGAAACGGTTCATGTTCCTGTATGTCTGTGTCCTCAGGCAATACTATACTTTGCATTGTAGGACATATTCTCCTCTTTTCTTCTCCTGATCTGCTCTTACACACTGGAAACTCCTGTTCCTCCTCATCTCACCTTTGCTCACTTCATCTCTTTCGACATGTTTTGTCCTTTTTTTCCCCTTCGGTGCACTGATGAAAGGGTCCTATAGGACCCAGGCCACACCTTAAATTCACACACACACAATGGTGGTGGGTTAATGCACTATATAAAATGTCCACACACATGTGCAGACAAATAAGTAAAAGTACTTTATCGCGCATGTGCAAAATGCACATGCTTGCATGTGAGGATGTGAACGCACAAAGCAGGAACTTTTAACTCCCACACACATTTATATTTAGAGGGATCACAGCTGAGACTCACCAAATTGTCTTTCCATCTGTGTCAATACATAAACTTTGAAGTGTGACAGGAAGGTGTGTGTGTGTGTAAGTTGTTGCAAGTCTTTCCTGAGTTTTTTCTTCATCGTTTCTTTTTACTTCCAACCCCCCCCCAAAAAACTCCAGAAAAGACATTTGGAAATGACGAGTGCTTACAGCAATCCAACTCATATTACCTTAATCTTGTTTGGCCTTTGCTGGGACATTAAAGCAAAGACATGCAAAATGGATGTTTACAGTGAACATTTCATGACAGTGTACTCAATTGATGGCTATGCCCTCTTTACACTTAACACTGGTTGGTTAAGTGCTCTCTTAGCGTAGCTCCTCTCCCTAGAATTTTCTTTTTAGTCAAAAGCCTATTATTAAAACTAAATTAAAATTTCAGTCAAAATTAACACTGCAGATGAAGCAAGAATGCAATTAAAATATTTCCCACAGTAACAAATTGCTCACACAAATTTTAGCCTAACGCTAACCACCACTGGGACATGGCGTGCGAGCACCTGCCTCCACTGTCAAAGTTCTAAGTAATGTGCTTAGCAGTACAGACTGATATACATACTTGGGGATAACAACTCTGACTATGCTAGCCCTGTTATTTGTTTCCTCGGTGACCCTAAAACTGCAGTAGACTTTGAATATATATAAAGGACTATTTTCTATCTTTTCCATTTAATCCCTCTATTTAGCCAGGCTTTCTTGACTGTCCTGAATGCACACACCATATTAGTTACATTGTATTGCTGGAAGCATAAATCCAGAGACCACTATCAGAGCCAACATACACTGAAACATTTTGAAAAATGCACCAAAGTGTGCATTTTAACATGCTGAAGATTTAAGTATGGGTATAATACCTCACTTAAGAAGCTGACCTGTGGACCAGAAGACATACGAAAAAATGAATTTACTTTCAGGTTCACAGTAGTTTTCAGGGGCCTGTCTTTCTGAATGTTCTTTTGGGCTTTTTCCCTCCCTTTAATTCAAACTAGGCTATGTTCTCCTGATAACACATGAGGCAGCCTCAGTAGTCCTTTGGACAACTGCGGTTTAATATAAGAATTTAACAAAAGAAAAGAAAAGAAACAGAAGCGATACAGTGGGATGAAAATGTATTGGGAACAGTCAAATATTATGTGAGCACAAGTTGCTGCACAGGCTCCCAAACTCGCCCTTCCTTAATCAGCCTTCGGTCGTGTCTACTGTATTAAAATAAGACGTTTAACATTTCCATCATGTCTGGTTGCCTGATGGCTGGTTTGAACTTTCTGAAGAGAAACAAAACTCGATGCTGACAATCTATTTCTTGGATATCCTGGAGGGAGCTGCACTGTGACGAATTCTAGAGACATTTTGACTGTTAGTCCCCCCCCCCCCCCCCCCCCCCCCCCAAAAAGTCACACCAGACAAACAGCCAGCTGATTTGCAACAGCAAGGAGAATGCATGCTTCATTTAGGCAAGATCACAATGTAACCAGTTCTTTGTTACAGTGTATCAAGATTTTTGAAACACTTGAGGAAAAGAACAGCAATCTCTGGTATAATCCCCAAGAAGCACTGTCAGATACAATAACTAACTTTAAAAGATTAAAGTAGTTCATTCAGTATGTGACTGTTAAATTTATATTTGCATTAGAATGCTATGTTCTGGCCACTAAAGCAGCGGTCAGCCTTCTTCTTGATTATCCTTTAATGCATCTACATCCTTGTGAGGAGTTGATTGACTGCCTGGCTGCTTGGTGCACCCTCCTCTCCAGACTCCTCTTCCATCACCTTCTTCTGGAACTCCTGCATGAAAAAAAAAGACTCAGAGTGTTTGAACATTAAACACTTACACATTTGATGATTGCTAGGTGCACAATATGTGTGTAGACAGCAATGGCATAAACCTGACCAGCATAGGAAAAAAAAAACCCTGATAGTGATATTTGACTGAAAGACAGATCAATGATCTTTTGGCACCAGAATGAATGACATAATGACAAAGTCATGAATATCGCTTCAAAGCTACTCACTAGTCTCTTTATCCAGCACCTGATCAATGACCCTAAATTGTAACTGCTCTGTAACTTGATGACTTCGTCCATGACCGCTCAGTGTCTCATAAACTCCATGTCCTTTATAAAAAAAAAAGAAAGAAAAAAAAAAGCTTTTCTGTGTTGCTGGAGCAGTGAAACTCTAGAAGCTTTGCGGCTGCTTAGGCTGTCGCTTTGTGGTGTTGAATCTCGTATGGTTAATGTGAATTTCAGCACAGCAACCACATCAAACAACAGCAGGTGCATGATTTTCACATCAACAGTTGGTAATGAGATCTGGATGTGTTTGCCTGTCATCCTCACCCTGAATCTGCGCAGCCTTGCCAGTCTGTCTTGCAGAGTCTTCTCCTGGCTGGAGGTCAGCTCTGCTACATGAGTGCGCCACAGCTGCTCTTTCTCCTGAAAGACCAAAATGCAGTTTTAAGATAGACTATATATAAAAGATGGACACATTTGTCTTAGCTGCTGGTTTTGTGAAATCCCTTCATTCCTTTTGAAATCAGATGTTAAGAACAGGAAGTGGTTCTTACTGGGGAAACCAAGTACATGGAATAATACTGCATGGTAACAAATTGTCAAACTCATTTTACACTGTGGGCCACATACAGGCTGCTTTGATCTTAAGTGTAACTCTCCATTCTGTCAGTGTAAAGAATCTGAACTGTACCCTGCTTACAAGCAATATTCCATGTAGAGTAGTCCAGCAGCTGGCACTGCCTTTTTATACTCCATTTGTCTTAATCAGCCATGAAAAATGAGTTTAACTACATCCGTAGTTTTCATAATTACAACAGTAACACGTCTGCTGACGGTTAATGTTTCAACCCAAAGCCCCTCTGACTGATCCTCACAATGACACTCCACAATCATCAAAACTTGGCAAATTGCTCCCACAAACTTGTCAGTGGAGTTGAGACGGAAAATAATCAACTCAATTTGTCAACTTGTCAGTGATCGCCCGTCTGAGCAAATTTGCACCAAGAGTGCTACCCCATATCCCTCTCCATAATCATTCAAAGGCCTTTAAAGAAAGAATGTCTTGGTTGTTTGTCTGGAAGTGTGTGTGTGTGTGTGTGTGTGTGTGTGTGTGTGTGTGTGTGTGTGTGTGTGTGTGTGTTCGCATTGACTGTGTAACTGCTTTCACCTTCACTCCATATGTGTCAGCGAGTCTTCCTCTTGAAACTGACTGACATTAGAGCAAATGGCTCCCTCGCTCACATCAACTTCCTCTAAACATTACGGCTCCCCAGACCCACACACAGCATGACGGGAACGTTAATTAATGACAGACGCTGTTCATTGAGCGCAACTCGCATCGGCCTTCTCTCTCACACACATGTGTGTAAATTCTACTTAAAAATACACACAAACACACTGCAGGAAATTGGATCCAAGAGATTCAACAAGAGATTCAAATTTGAGGTCAGGAACACACCCGCCAGCAGACCCAGAACTTTTCATCACACACACACAAGCACGCCTACTTAAGGCTCTGCGGTGCAAGCCCAGCAGAATGTATGTCCTGTTATATCACTGTACCAGGGGAACTTTAGCCATCAAAATAATCCTACAGAGCCTCAAAATATTATGGAGGATTAAGTGAGAATGATTGTGTATCTTTTCTGTTTTTCTGTCTTCTGAACTGTTTTTTCTTAGATTTATTTCCTCTCTGGATGTACTTGCTTATATGAAGAATTACAGGCGGACACGTGGATGTAACCTCCAGGTCTGTGAAGTAAAACTTCCATGGCCCTGCTGCTCACAGGCTTTACAACCTCTTACATACTTTGAGTTTATGGTCTCAATAACTTTTAAAGTCTCATTCCAATTAAAGTGAAACTTTATAACAGAGCAGGGGTGTTAAACATAAGGGCCAGAATCAGCCTGGCAAACACTCCAATTTGTTCCACTGGATGGATGGTTTTGGAAAATGTAAAGGCAGGTCTAGATTTTGGATGTTTAACCCTGTAACAACAACTACATTGCATTTGATACATACATAACAAAACAGGAAAAACACAGTTTTTCAGACCTCTACTAAATACATTCACCCTGAAAAAATGAAATAAATTGCAATATACATGTTTAAGCAATAAATTGCCGGCTGTGACTTTTAGTACTAGTACTAGTAGTAGTAGTAGTACTAGTTTTTAGTTGAATTAACCTTTTAAAGTCTGAACTATGAAATAATTGCCAGAAAATTTAGATTTTGGGAAAAAGGAGTGTTTGGTAAACTTTCTGATAATTTCTTTAATTAAAACGAATTTGCATATATAAGTTTAAACGTGAGAGTGAGAAAATGTACCATTTTAAGAAAAATATTAGCTCATTTTGAATTAGATGGCAACAACACAGTTTGGAACAGCTTAGACAAGGTCATGTTTATCATTATGCAGCATCCCTCTTCTTTTTACAACAGTCTGTAAAACAGCGGTCCCCAACCCCCGGGCCTCGGGGGTCCGTGAGTCGTTTGGTACCGGGCCGCGAGAGTTGAGGCTCAGGTATGAAATGTATGGTTTTCAGGGTTTTTATCGGTTTTCAGCGTTATTTTGTTATCGTTTTTATCGTTTACTCGGTTTTCCTGGGTCTTTTCACGTGTGTTATGAATAAATCTTCTTTTTTTCGGTACCGGTACTAGTTTTATTTTGTTGTATTTATCCGCGACACCTTAAAGGCCGGTCCGTGAAAATATTGTCGGGCATAAACTGGTCCGTGGCGCAAAAAAGGTTGGGGATCGCTGCTGTAAAACATTTGGAAACTACAGAGACCAGTTGCTGTATTTTTGAGAGCACAGTGTTGTCCCACTATTGTCTGATGTAGGATTCTATAGTTGCTCAATGGTCCCCGTGCATCATTGCTGTGTTTTCTACTCCATGATGAGTCAGATGTTTTAAGCTGGTGAAAGGTCCGGACTGCAGACAAGCCAGTTCAGCGCCTGGACTCTACCTCAAAGCCGTGCTGTGTTAATAGCTGCAGTGTGTGGTTTAGTGTTCTCTTGCTGAAATGTGAAAGGCCTTCCCTGAAAAGAAAAAAAACATCAACAGGATGGGAGCATGTGTTCTAAAAACTGTATATTGCTGTTGCTGTTCCAAATGTGCAAGCTGACAGATCTGTATGTACTAATATACCCACATACAATCAGAGATGAAGGCTTTTTAAAATGAAACTCCTTTCAAATTTCAAACCATCTAACTACAGAACAGTTTTCCCACTTTGCCTCTGTCCATTTTAAATGAGCTTTAACCTGCATTTGTGGATGGTGCAGAGAACTGTGTTCACAAACAATGATTTCTGGAAGTGATCCTGGGCCCATGCTGCGATTTCCAAGACAGAAAAAATGCAGTCCTGCCTGAGAGCTTGAAGACCACAAGCATCCAAAATCAACTGTCACTGCCACTGTCTCCAAACCCCATCACAGCAGGTCCACCATCTTCTAAATTTGCCCATTTACTCTTGCTCCTTCTGTCATAGCTATCCAGATTCTCCAAATCTTTTAATGACATCAAGTACTGGAGATGATGAAAATTTTATTTTGGGGAACATTATTCTCAAAATCGCCCATCTTTACCTCTGAGAAACCCTGCCTCTCAAAAAGACTCTTTTTTTATACTGAGTCATGTTACTGACCTGTTGCCAATTAACTTTTATTTCCCCCAGCTTTTTTGATATGTATTATTGCGATCAGATTCAAAATTTGCTAATATTTTTATTCAAAAATTTAATATTTTCTTAGTTTAAACATGTAATATTTTTTCTTTTGTACTGAGAATAAAGAAATGGATCTAGATTTTCAAATCATTTCATTCTTTTTTTAAAAAATTGTTTTTAAATTTAGTTACATTTTGTTTTACAAAATGTAACTAAATTTGACATTTTGTCAATTGAGGTCGCAGTTCCTAATTAACCTTCATCTTGGCTCTAGTTAAATGTGTCCTGAAAGCAGTCAAAGTGCAGCTAATGAACACATAGTACAAAGATGTACATAGTATGAAATTTAAAGTTGCTAACTGCAATTCAAAGGCTGGAATCAAGTTTTGATCGCTGCACAGTCCTGTCTGTTTTCTGTGTAATGTTCACTCAAGACTGAGTCACAGCAGCTTTTGTTAGTAATCACTAATAATTTGGAAAAAGTTACAGAAATATGTAAACAAATGTGCGTTCTCTCTCTTTCTGTTTTTAGCAGTTTACATGCCCCCCCACCCCCCCCCACCCCCCTTGTGCAGATGACACTAGATGACAGAAGGTCATAATTATTGTATTTCACAGGAAAGTTATATAAGCATTTTAATCTGCACTACATGTGTGAAACACGCCAAAGTTTGGACGTCAACTATAAAAGAACAAATATTTGGAGGAAGGTCACACTTGGTTAACGTTGGTCTGTCATCTCGCAGAAGACTGGAGATGCTATAAGCCATTAAAGAAACTAAATAAAAACGTACTCCCACAGGATGCTGCGGGAACTGAAAGGTGAAGAAAGGTGAACTCCATCACTAACAGAACTAACGTGCAGACATTATTTGTATAAAAAACCCAAAGGAATAGCTTTCAACACATATAGGGGGAGTTAACAGTAAATATGAGCTAATAGACTGCATACAGCTATCATTAGTTAATTACTAAGTACTGAGAGTGAGACCCTCACCACACGAAAATCTCCTCTTTTCAATTGAATTCAGTTTTATTTATACAGCGCAAAATCACAACAGTCGCCTCAAGGCACTTTATATTGTAAGGGGTAAGCTTTGTGTTCAGATAAACTTCAGGTTGACAACTTTGGCAATGAACAAAACATCACTTTTGACAAAGGCTCTCAGCAAATTCCATTGGTTCCAGGAGTTTTCAATGCGTCCTATTGCTAATTAATATTTTAGCTTTTCAATCTAAAAACTAGGAAACTCTGAAGAAGTCAGAAGTCTGTCTATCCAGTTTGCTTCAAGAAGGAAAGATGCCAGACACATGTTGCCATGTCTTTGAAGATCAGCTCTGCGTCGTGCGTTAGAATTAGAGATATAAAAGGATGCTGTAGCTGACCTGTTTTTATGCTGCACCCTATGACTTTTTTCAGGTTGTCAAAGGAATGGGGGGAAGAGGAAAAATGCACATTCCTCAATAGATGGTTCTGAAGGTCAATGTGATAATAATGTTATATAGAACTATAAAATAAGTAAGTTAGCCTGTTGTAGTTTATAAAACGAAATGTTTTTTCTGTGAGATTTCAGTTGCTTGTTCGGTTTGTCGGACAGCAGAATGCCTCCTAACCATTAAGGATTCTGGCTTATGAAGTGTCACCTGGTAGCAATCAGGATGGTACCTGTCCTATTTAATGTGAAGGACAAGATGTAGATGATCTCCATTTTGCCCCATCTCATCAAAGAAAACAGCAGCTTTCCTAGGTCTGGTTAATGTACGGTATGATCTGTAACATGAACAATATGCATGCAGCAATGAACTATGCTAAGGTTTTCAGAATTTTCACTACAGATTCATAATTTGTATGTGTGTGGTGTTTTTTAAGGACTTTTAATGCAGCGCCAAAGTTGAGCAGCACAAAAGAATCTAATGTAGCCAGTAGTACAGTACTACCACTGTAACTGCCTCCATGTCTCTGAACCAAAGGCCTTTGATTTAGGTGATGTCAGATGCTTATGTAAGACTTAAAAAATGTTGCTTGTTCTTGCAATCACTATTCAGTGAGTTTGCCTATAATAGTACATAATTTAGCAAAAACAGGCTCTAAACCAAGAACTTTTTGCCCCAACTTCAGAGAACTAATTTGGAAATGCACAATATTGAAGGCAGACAAGTATGCACTTGTCTGCCTTCACACGCATTCACCAATTTCCTTCGGGGCCAACCTTCAGGATCAATAAAGTTTATTGAATTGAATTTGAACTTGAGTGTCATCCCATTTTTAATGCATAGGGTTTAATACCATGTTGGCCCACACTTTGCAGCTATAACAGCTTCAACTCTTCTGGAAAGGCTTTCCACAAGGTTTAGGACTGTGTTTATGGGAATTTTTGACCACTCTTCCAGAATCCCATTTCAGAGGTCAGACCTGGTCTGCAGTCTCTGCTCTATTTCATCCCAAAGGTCTTCTGTCTGGTTGAGGTCAGGACTTTGTGCAGGCCAGTCAAGTTCTTCTTCACCAAAGGTATAATCATCCATGGAGTTTGCTTTGTGCACCAGTGCACAGTCATGTTGGAACAGTAAGGGGCCATCAACAAAACTGCTTCCACAAAGTTGTGAGTCTGGAACTGTCTAAAATGTCTTGGTATGCTAAAGAACTAAGGGGCAGAGCCCAGCTCCTGAAGATAACCTTACATCATAATCCCTCCTTCACTAAACATTACACTTGGCACAATGCAGTCAGTAAAAGTACCGTTTTCCCTCCAAGCACCAAACCCAGACTTGTTCTTTGGATTCCCAGGAAAGCATGATTCATCACTCCAGAGAAATGCTTTACACCACTACATCTGACACTTTGTATTTTGCTTGGTGATTCAAGTCCTTTTTCAAGGACTTTCAGTTGTCCGAGACCAGGCTATAAAAATCAGTAAGTCCTGGATGCAGCTGAATTAATTCCTCACGACAAGTGCAATTGTGAGGAATATACAACTGGACTTTTTGCACAGGTGGCATCCTATCACAGTACCAATTCATTCGGAATTCACTGAGCTCCTGAGCGTGCCCCATTTTTTCCACAAAAGACACCCATCTATTAAGTTTTTCGTTTGGTTATTTTGGTTGAATTCATTGTAATGCACTCACTTAAATCTCCATGTTGACTTGTCAACATTACAACGGTTTTCTGGTATTCATATGGCTCGACTGACACATTCCAGTGGTGAGCACGTGTGACATTTTATACAGATTAACCCTTGTTTAATGAAGACTGGAGGTCTGTTTGGGTTCAGGTTGCTTTTCTGCATTGGCTGTATGTTTCTCTGTGTTCTCTGTGCACATGTCAGAGGACATAAGTCACTGAGTCCATGCACATTTGTGTGTACTTTTGATGTGTGGCTCTGGGTTAAGTTAGGGTTCAGCAGAAAGTACATTCCATACTGCTGTGAGAGTGACTGTCTACTCTATCAGGGTAAATGTTGTCATCAGCTTCCTGTCTTTTTATTTTTTCTGCAGAGAAGCAGAAACACTGACAGCAACAGCAAGCCCTCGTCCCCTGTTGACCTTAACACGCTCTTGTCAAAAATTGGGCAACTGCTCAAAGCGTCCACAGCTGTTTAGTGTATGCTGCATTCCAAGTCCATGAGAGTGTCCATCTGTTTTGGCAACTGTTTATGTGTTGTGTTGTGTTTTGAATAAATCCGTACTATCAATGCAAAACCACTTTCTTTTGTTTCATACTGCCAAATGTCTATTTCATTCTTCTACTGCGTGTGTGTCTACATGCTCTCCCAAAGCGACTGATAAACCCTGGCAGTCTTGACAGAGGGCCAGAATTGTGTTGCCTAGACTGTTAATTCCAGGAAGTCGATCTGATTTTGCCCTGAGCAACAAAGTGAACCTCAACGGTAGATTAATGCTCATTGATTTGGCGTCACACCACGGCCCGTCTACTTGATAGTTCAGCTCTCTGTTTCCATCAGACTGATTACTACAACCTGGTCTCACGAAAACCTAAGCTTGCCGTCTTAAAATGTGAATAAATGAGTCACCTTCACAGTGTGTGTGCCTCACAAGTGAAGGAAATAAAAAAACAAACAAAAAACACTGACTTCACATTTGGTATTTGCTAATAACTTAATAAGGAAGATCATTTTCACACAAAACCCTTGAAAAAGCTGTTTAAAAAGTGATATGGAAAGCATCCTCCCAGTCAAGAACATTCAATTATTAAACTCTGAAAGGCTAAAACAGTGCCTGGTTTCCAATAAATAGCGCTGATGGCCAGCTTGATCTATCACAGCACCGGTCACATTCAGTTACTATTGCTTGGCTCCTGTGTCCAACCTGTGTGTGTGTGTATGTGTGTGTAACAGGCATGTGGTTTCTAAGAAGAAACAAGTACAAGCTGTTGAGCCTAAGCTGCTGTCAGTTAGCGCAACCCTTCATGCTGTGCCAAAGGTTGGAAGTGAAGACTATGTTTGTTTTGCAGATGTATGGACTTGTAGAGTGTGAACCATCCAGTCATGTGTGTATGTGTGTGCACGCGTCTGCTCACCTTCTTGCTCTCCTCTATTTCTCTGAGTCGTTTTTTTTCCTGCTGCTCCTGCTCTAATCGCCTGCGGACCTAAATCACACAGACACACATACATGCACACACACACAGCACACACACACACAAACACATGGATATACATGAAATTTGTGCACATTTGGGGTGTGATATTTGATTCGGTCGCACTTGCCATACCCTCTCTTCTTTCCTGTCTCTCCAGTCGTTCCCTAAAGCCGCCGCTCCTTCTGTCCTTTCCGATGTTCTCAGAAATGCATAGTCCTCCTCTTTACACAAACCTCTCATTGACTAGAACCAGAAAAGTGGCTTTTGTGAGTGTCATGAAACAGCGTCAATGCTGGAACACAGGCAATATGGTGAAGTGGTGAAAAAGTAGTCCCTTGGTGGTGTCTGGATATTTTCAGTATTTCAGTATTCAGTATTTATTTCTTACTAGAGACTCATTGAAGTTACATTTCTATGTGGCATTCATTCTTACACACACCACACTTTATGATTCACATAAAGCTTCTGTTCATAGTTTTATGCCACATATGTTACTGTAAGTGCAACACCCATGACTAGATGCTAATGTCCAGTGATGCACGCTAACAATGCTAAATGTTTTTTGTCTAGAGAACTGGCAAGTAGGTATTTGATTTGGGTAAAATTACCAAATACAAAAATAAATGTATAAAATTTTTAGAAAAGTTTTAAAATTCATTTATTTTTGTGTATTTTAATTCACTTTAAGAAGTCATCAGATTTCAGTACATAAGGGTTAACTTACTTGCCTTTGGGAAGAAGCCATAGCATTCAGAGGAAATTTAGGCACAGGGAGAACATGCAAACTACACACACAGAATTGCCATCAGTGTTTCAATCCAGGAACCTTCTTGCTGTAATGCCACAGCGTTAACCACTGCCTCACTTTGCTAGCCTGCTGCCTGAGTCGGGATGCAGCCATTCATTGGTTTTTCTAACATGTTAATTATGACATGTTGTTTTTCTTGTCTGAGATTATTTTTTTACTTTAACTTTTTTACACCACTACATTTTCTGGAAGGTCTGAATAGCTTGTAACTTTGTGGTGACTGGTGACTGTTTCCCCCTTGGGCTTATTGACAGCAAAAGACATATAAACCTGCACTTTACCATGATGCCTGCCTTCCCTGCTTCCTTCATATTCACTGGGTTGAATCCAGGTTTTACAAATGTTCACTTATATAAACTTGAAACAGTCAAATGTAGGACATTGTCAATATGTAGGACAGCGGGACAAGAGATAAGTGCTGCTTCATAACTAGGTCACCCTTTTACTGGGATCACCAAAAGGTCTCATGAATATAAAAATGACACTAAATGACATCTGCTATGACCTCAGCTGCCTCACAAGATCTCAACCCAAATGACAAATACACATGTGGAACAAATGCACCGAGGAAATGGAAACTGTTTATTTGATTTACTGTGTTTCTTTTCTTGGCTTTTCTCAGAATTGTTCTACTTTATGTTATCTGAGGATAATTATCTATCTAGTTGGTGAAGAATAAATATATGAAGAAACTTTCAACCCTACACCCATGAGTCTTCAATCCCAGCAGCATGTAACTTACCTTTGACATGGGAATGCCTTGAAACCTCTTCTCGTGCGTCATCTTAAACAACAGATCTGCGGCTCATGACACACAGATGTTCACATTTTATTAAGTCTCAGTGATGCTTTTATGTCACACATTTAATTTTCTTTCAAAATCTGTGAAAACTTTGTAGCATTTAGAGTTAAATAGCTAATCAGAAATTAGCTCAACTCACCTGTAAGTCAAGAAGAACTGTGTCCTCTCTTTTTACACACTCTTTCGGGTTCAGTGTGTTTTGAGATCTTTCTCACCCCGCTCTAATTGCCTCCTCTTCTGCTCAATCTTTTAGAATACCCACAGATGTGTCCTTACTCAGCTCAGAGTCCCAACAGAAAGCTGACGATCGGAGTCATGGACGTTTTTGTACAGTAACAGTGCAACACTTAAATGCTGGTCATTTCCACAGTGCAGTGATAGAATTGCCACTATCCTGCTAATAAAAAGTCAGGAAGCCAAGAAGAGCATAATAAATAGGTGACGCTTTTTAAAAATTAAAGTTCGTGGGTCACTGTATCTTAACCACGATGACACACAGTAAGAATTAAGTAAAAAAAAAAATTACCCTTGTTTTTTTGTTTTTTTTTTAAAAGGTACAGGCACATTTTAGTCTGTATGCTAATCGAAACAAACCAACAGCTTACATCATTTAATTTAACTATTTAATAAAAAATATGAATCTTTGTATCCTCAGGTATAGAAAAGTACCATTTTAATATGCCCACATGGGTCAAAAATAATTGTCAGCATTGTAAATATACAGCTTCATTTGTCTTTGCAGTTGGCATTCTGCTGCTGTGTTACCCTCCCCCATCTGGGATGAGTAAAGTTCATGATACTCTGTTATTTTAATTACTAGTATTTTCAGCAGGCTGCTAAAAAGGAGCCTGACAGCCACATTAGCTGCTCCTGTGATGGATATGCAGCACTGAGGCTCTGAGTGTTTCCACTGAACACGTTCTACCACAGTGTTGTTACATTGTTGCTGTATCAATTCAGATCAGGAGATGTGACCAAGAGAAGTCAAAGCTGAGTGAAACTTTTCACAGCAGGGATCACTTCCTTTCCAATTTCTCATTCAGATTCAATGAGACATTGGATTCTGTCTATAAAACACGATAAAGGCATGAATTTCAGTGCAGATATTTTGCATGAAACAGATCGCAGTAGTTTCCTGGACTGAAGAATGAAGCCGATACTGATGCGCCAAAAACTGCATCTCCTAAAACGACCACTTGAGGCTACCTCCAAAGTCATTCTGGCATTAAAATGTTCTCATGAAAAATCTGACACAAATCATTCAACAAGTTTGTGCTTCAGTTTTAACAAGTAAAGTTCTGATATTTTATTATTCTGTTACTTAATAAAATCAAACACAATAACAACAACAAAAATAAACATGGTGTTAATGCTTAAAACTATAAAGTCCAGAAACCATCTTTTATGTACAGTCTGTGCTGCTATATGAACTTTGAACTTTATTTGCCAGGAACTTTCCACAGATAACAAAACAGTGATATACGAATAATAAAGAACTACAAAAACTTCCTGGTAATAGTTCATTAAACCTCTTTTTAGTTTTCTTTAATAATGTCAAATATTTGAATTTCCCTCAGACAACTCAACTTTGAAATTATTTGTACAGCAGCAGAATACAGTTATAGTCTGGTGTCTATGCATCAGAGTTCATCACTCTTTGGTATATGGTATGGAATTGGGGGTTGCTGAATAAAATCCAGCCAAAGGTGGATGACGAGGTGGCGGAGGGGTTGGAATTGCAGGTAACGATGCAAGGCGACGGTGGAACTGACATGTCAGAGGTAGATATTGGTAAGTGCAGGATAAATTGACCACCAAATTGGGGGGTTACTATGTAACTCACACCAATGGACTATAGGTTTAAAAACAAAAATTTATTTCTGTGGACCACATGAACAGACTCTTTCTCATGCTCCTTTTGCTTGTTGCTTTTTCACTGCTCGTCTTTGAGCTTTCTCTTTACCTCCACTGGTAAGGCTGATGGTCATTCTCTCTAATGCTCGTTCTGCCATAGTTTATGTCCTCTGTCCTCCCCCTAATTGCTGTTTTACAAATATAACTGTAGCTATAAAAAAAAGCTTTAAACAAGTTGGTGACCCCAGGAACAAAGTCACAGAGAAAAACCACATAGTAAAAGACCTCTTTTTATTGTAGTATGCCTGCATGCGAGTCTGAAACCCGCACAGCCTAAATGAAAGCCATGCATGCTTTGTCCTGTTTAAAACATTTGGTTATAATCAACGATAATTGAAAGGCGATGATCCTTCAGCACTGTAACAGCCTAACAGTTACATGCTAACTGCATTAGTCCTGATCATAATATTGGATGGAATGAGTAAGAAATAACTATAATGACAATAATATCATGGTACGGCTTAGAAACAAGAAACATCTTGAAATCAAACACCAATCACGTAAGAATACAAAACCTCTGGATATTCATCAACTTTCTCCACTGAAATACAGCATAAGGAAATGTGATCCAACTTAAAGTATCAGAGGTGGTTATGCAAATGTCTTTCACACAATCACTATTTGCAATGATTTTTGAGTATTTTGTTTGTGCTCCATCTCATCCCAGACTCACAACAGATGCTTCTCCATACATGGATTCAGTCAGTGTCATTATTGCCCTCTTGGACTCTTTCATGCCACTGTAATCCATTTTTATTAGAACAAGTCTTCACGTTGTCTTTTATGGGCATGTGGGGAAAAACACACAGAACCAAACTTCTGTTTTAGGATTTTCCTCACTTAATAACTATAGGTTACAGAACAGAGTGGGTTACAAAGTGTACTTACTTACCATTTGCACAGGCTGGGTGTGTATATCATTTAAGGAAGAATGCTAAACTCCCACTGGGCCTCTGATTCTAGTTCCCATCCTTTTTTGACCAGTGGCATCAGGCTAACCAAGGTAGCCCAGATGTCTTTCTACTCTGTCACATCCTACAGCTTCTCCCTGGAGGCTCCCAAAATGTCTGAGAATGTCGTTTCAAGAAAAATGAGGCAGTTGTCTGGCAAATGCCTGACGAGGGCATGTTTTTAATTCCAACCGATGAGTTCGCTAATGTGAACACAGACAATGTTCTTAATGAAATGAAATATGTTCAAAATGTATACTCGCTTTCATGAAATTATTTTTATATTTGGTAAATGGCCTGCACTTGTCCCTTAGGACCCCAAAGCGCTTTACACAACCAGTCATCCACCCATTCACACACACATTCACACACTGGTGATGGCAAGCTACGTTGTAGCCACAGCCACCCTGGGGCGCACTGACAGAGGCGAGGCTGCCAGACACTGGCGCCACCGGGTCCTCTGACCACCACCAGTAGGCAACGGGTGAAGTGTCTTGCCCAAGGACACAACGACTGAGACTGTCCAAGCCAGGGCTCGAACCAGCAACCTTCTGATTACAAGGCAAACTCCAAACTCTTGAGCCACGATCGCTCCGTTTTTTCATATTTGCCTACATGCTTTAATTTAATAACTTCTACATGATTTTAAAAAATCAGTGAGGAAATTTTCTTCACTGCCAAGTGCAAGACTAGCCAGAATTTTGACGTCAAATCTTTAGTTTTGTTGTGTTGTTATTGTTGAAAATTGAACTGAGTTGATGCTCCTTATGCTTCCTTGTTTAAGTTTTTTTTCTAAAGCATTAAGTTTGAATTTTATTTTATTTATTTTTTTGTGTGAAGACCAACTATTTTATAGTACTACATGGTGTATCAGCTTTGGCTTCTTTAAACTAACTTGTAACAGGCTTGCGATATCTTAAGCAATAAAATCTAATCGAACCTCAAAACTTATATTGTCACATAAGATAAATAATTTTCCACACTGTCTTGTAATGGTTGTTTTTTGTAAATGCACAAATTGCTCTTTGACTCTACTAATTTTTTCCAAATTTTCAAGGGCATTATCCAAAGCTCATGACTGCAGCTGAGTGTTGGAACTTAGGCAGATTGGCAGGTAAGTTGAGAGCTTAACTACCTCTTTACCACAACATTAGTATAACACCAATCTGTCAGTCTCTGTCAGCACATGTTCCCCTAGCTTTTGAACACAAACCTGAGACACTTTGACGCTCTTCAAGAAGTAATTGTAGTTTTTATCCACTTTATATTCTTAGTTTACGTCACTGGATGAGGGATGTGCTTGGAAAGAAAAATGCAATACGATGAATATGAATCGACTTTGTTCAGTAGTTCAGTTAGAACTTTCAACTTATAACCCTACAAAGGCACACAAACAAAAATAAAATAAAAATCCCCAGAGTATAAATATGGTCACATTAGACTCCAATCCTACAACTTCCTCCAAAATTCTCACGAGATTTTAATGTCCTCTTGGTTCTTCAGTGATAGCCATCCACCCATCCACAGCTGCAGATAAATACTGATGGTAAAGTTTTATTAAACACAGCGGTTAACTGAAATAACCTTCAAGTAATCAAGTTATCAAATTCCTTTACATTAGAAATGTCTTAATGCTTGAGTGAACTTAGATGTGAGTGTGTTGCTGAACTGGAGTGACCCTTCTTAAAAGCTCTTGTCATGAACCATCCTAACATGCTTTATGTCTTAACGCCTGATCCCTCTGTCACTAAGTCGTGCTTTGCAAGAGGCTTAACTTCCTATCTGTATACATTTGTCCAGCATAGCTCCAGGCCCCAGTGGACTGCATCTCACCCACAGGATAGTCATTACAGTGTAAGTGAAAGTATGTGCTTGTTTGTGTGAGCCCACAGATGGTGACCACAGGGATTTGAATATCCCCTTTTTGCCTTTTTACACATGTACATCAATGTGTGGATACAAACTGACCAGTTGAAACATTGTGTGGCTCACAATGCAACTCATAGGATGCAAGGATCTTCTTAAGTTCCTTGCATCCCATGCCAAAAGCTAAATTAATTTTGTGGCTATGTATTTACTATGTGTGTATATTTCTGATTTCAGATCCTGTTATCTTATCCCAGGCAGCATA